AGCGTACTATAGCCTATTACTTGATGTGTTAACGGGTCGGGTCGGGTTCGGATTTGAATTGAAGATATCCGCGGGTGACGGGTCGGGTTCGGTAGTCATCCTAACGGGTTCGGGCGGGTGCGGATTGGTAAAACTCGACCCGTGCAGGACTCTACTTGTTGATCCACATTAAGGTCAGACATCCAGTAAAATGTGTCCAGATGCATCTGAAGCTTCTGCTGCTCCTGTGTTCAATGGCAGAGAGCGGCTCTGCTATATTTGCTATGATCAGAGGGTAAAAATTAGTTTTAATATATTTTGAAGTGAGAAAGTCCACCTGAAAACATTGTCTGTGCAGTCAGTTCATCCAGATTACCATCCTGCCTTCAAATATTTTGCTGTCGGAGCCTGTTCAACGTTAGCCCCCGACCCCAGTCGCCTCTTCGCGGTTTTCTGCTACTGTTCGTGGCGACTGGAGGAGATGTTAGCATTTTTTCACGTACGTAATCCAAACTGCAGGCACCAGGATAATAAAATCGAACATATTTTGTCTTGGATTTTGTCCTCATGGGAAATGCCATCTTCCCTCAAGCAAAACAATACAGCTTTTGTCCACTGGGGGAGCTAAAATCGACCAAACCTGAAAGTTCTTTAGAACTGCTTTGATAAAATTTTTTTTTTTGGTTTGTTTTTACGGCTCTAGTGGCTCTTTTTTTTTTCTCCGACAGTAGGCCGACAGGAAAGTGGATATGAGAGAGGGGGAGAGACATGCGGCAAAGGACCACAGGTCAGATTCAAACTCGGGTTGGCCGTGTTCTGTCGCCCCGAACCGATCAAATATATTTGTTATCAAGCCGATAACCGATATATTTGCAGTTTTACTTAAGATTTTGATTTTCAAACTTCGCCTTTTAAACATTTTTTCCAGAAGTTTATAATTTTCTCAGCGATACTGAGTTTTACAAATTGCATTCTTTGTAAATCCTGGTTTACAGATTTTCCTTCTGCAGACCGATAGAAATGCTGTTGCTAAGGTCCACACAAAGCAGAAAATCGGATCTAAAAAGAATAAAAACTCTTCCGCAATGCACCTAAAAATGTAAAAAATAAAATCAGTAAATAAAATTGAAAAAATTAAAGAAAGAAACAAACTGGGAAACTTGGGCTGAATTCTACACTCATTCCGTCTAATTGAGAACTTTTTAAAAATACATTTTGTTCAAATTTTTTAAACACGGTTTTCTGTAGCATTGGAACTAATTTTTGATAAAATCAAAATATTTCTGTATGATCTGCAGAATCAATGGAAACAGGAATCATGCTGGAGCAGAAACACACGAGCGAAACTGAGAAAAAAGGTTTCCTTCCTTTTAGTGAACCATATCTGTCAGAATTTCACTGCAGGCCACGCCCACTTCCATGCAGATCATGCCACTCCATCACCATAAACATGCAGCCAAACTGATCCCTTCTGCTGACTAGCAGCGCCCTCTGGTGACGGTGTGCGGTTCTGTCCCTCAGAGCTGCAGCTGATGGGTCAGTATTATTGCTCGGTTCTGGAATATTCCATGTTCAGGCTGATGTTCTGCCCACAGGGAGAACCAGCCGTTCTCTTAGGAGAACCCACCTCCATCTTCTTCCTCCTCATCATCTTCCTCTTCCTCAACATAATCTCCATCATCTTCCTCATCCTGATAAACAGAGAGGGTGAATCAGAAACAGGAGAGGAGCTCCCCCTAGTGGCCGTACCCCCCTTAGACTCACCTGGATCCCCTCCTTCATCAGGTAGGACAGGCCCACCTCGTCTCCCTCGGAGCCGTCCTCATCTTCATCATCCTCCTCATCCTCGTCGTCGTCGTCGTCATCTCCAGGTGGCCCGGCTTCATCGTCCTCGTCTGAGACGGAACATCGTTTATCCAACTGCCTGACTTACGTCCAAACAGCACCAGACGTTCTGAAGGCCCATTGGATCAGAACCGAGGCTCACCGTTCTCAGAGTCCGGCACCTCGTTGTCCTCCTGGTCAAAGCCGTCCAGGTAGACCAGCTGAGGCAGCAGCTCGAAGACGTTCTCCCTGTAGTCGTCGGCAGCCGTGATGTCGCAGCTGTACAGGTCCAGACTCTTCAGGTTCTTCAGGTTCTGCTGCAGGGTGACAGCACAGCAGGATTACGCAATAAAATGACCGGCAGTCGTCTGATGACGCAACCAAAACATATGAATGACCGAAAACATTTGATTGACAGATGACCGTTGATATATTATTGGCCGAATTTAGGTGTTCAGGCTGACGGATAACTACGGTAACTGGCCTGCATAAAATAATGATAAAAAAAACTTTTTAGGACAATATATACAGTTTAAGCCAGAATTATTTGACATTTAAATATGACTTCCCTACGACTTTAAAAGAACCCGGGTCCGAGAGTCCATTGGACCAGGATGTGGCTCCTTACTCAGCCTGTTAGCTGGTGAGCATTTGGACCCATGGCCATGTTGGAGCTCCGGTTCACCAAATTCTACCAGTGATGGAACGGTCAGAGAGTGAGAACCTACCAGTCCCTCGATGCTGCTCAGCTCCTTGATCTGATTCCCACTCAGGTTCAGGTACGTCAGGTTGGGACATTTCTGCGCCAGAGTGTCCAACCCGCTGGAGATGGAGTTATCGCTCACCTCCAGCTGAAACACACAGTTCAGGTCAGTCTGAGCTACTTCGCAGCTTCAGAACCTTTGCGTTCTAGAGGACCGACCTTTCTGAGTTTGGGGAGAGAGGGCAGCTTGGCCAGCGAGCTGAGTCCGATGTTCACCATGCTGAGGATCTCCAGCGCCGAGAACTCGTCTGTTAGACCCTCCACCTCTCCGTCGGCAGAGCGACAGTTGTCCACCACCAGCTCCACCACCTGAAGACAACAGAACACATCGTTCTGAGCATCACGACCAAAAAGGGCGGGTTCTGGACTGAGACATGATGAGGGCAGAATGCAGCAGTTTAGGAAATAATGAAGAACCCGGACCTTTTAGGCAAAGATCCCATTAACTCGCTCCAAGCAATCAGATACCCCTACAACATGGATCAGAACTTAATCAATCATAACCAGAACCTTTTTCTTTCTGATAATGATGCCAACAATTCCCTTCAATAGCCAGACCAACTCAAAAAGTGGCCCGCAGGTCCCCCACTGGCCAGCAGAGACCCCGTTGGGCAGCCATCGTTCTGTTAGCACTGATCTGACGGAATCAGGGCGCCGCCTGGGTGACTAGAGATGCAAACTTTACTGGTTTGAGAAAATTATTGTATAACATCACCAACTGACCAGTCATCGTCACAGCAGCATGAGCTGCACTGAGCTTCCATTGGTTAAAATCCGTAGCTAAGCTAACGCTGAGCTTCCATTGGTTAAGATCTGTAGCTAAGCTAACGCTGAGCTTCCATTGGTTAAGATCTGTAGCTAAGCTAACGCTGAGC